GAAGAAGAAGAAGAAGAAGAAGAAGAAGAAGAAGAAGAAGAAGAAGAAGAAGAAGAAGAAGAAGAAGAAGAAGAAGAAGAAGAAGAAGAAGAAGAAGAAGACTCCCTCAGGGACTTATTCCGGTGTGAACGCGATCTGCTCTTTAGTTCATCAGAACTAAAAGTGCTTGATGTGAAAGCGCCTAATCAACGCATTTTCTTTAATTAAATCCTGAGCCAGATATATCCAGGAAACTACAGTAAAAATGTAGCGCTTAGCAGCCATACTGCTAATGTTTGCAATTTATAATACATGGTAAATGTGTTTCCTGTTTAGTAACACATTTAGATGTTTTGATTTGACTTGATATTCTCATGAAGGGCTGCACGATTCCGAAAAATGAGCTAGTTGCGATTATTTTAACCAATATTTATATTGCGATATGATTCGCAATATTAGAAGGAATTATCATTTTATTTTTATTTAAAAATATGATAAAATGATCACGGTGTGGTAGTATTTGTGCCAAACAAGCATTTATTTTTTCGTCTGTAAGCTTTCACATTTTTGTACTTATTGTGTATTAGATATTGAACTAGATCATATTGTAATTGTAATAACATTTGGATAAATTCTAGCCCTACACTTCGCTCAATATTAGAGAAAAAAGAAAACTCAATTCAGATGTAGGAATCCAAGATGACGCTGTGTGTCACTCATTTCTTTAGACATACAACTATTACTCACAGCAGTGAATTTACATATTAGCTTCCAATGACTCGGAGTAAAGTCAACACGTAAAAGCCTTCAGTGTTGAGCGTTAGAGCCCAGTTATGATAAGACAAACTCATCAGTTGTCTCAAATACAAGAATGCAGAAGGAAGTTATTTTACCTGCTGGTGGCGCGAGCCGGTGAAGGAGTACTGGACAGAATGTGCTGGGTATCGGCCCTGCTCGTTGCCGAAGCTCCCCTGGGTGGGGGGGTAGCCCGAGCTGCTGGACATCCTGGCTCAGTGCTAGCTGCTGCTGCTTCAGAGACACTAGCTAGACCATGTTTGGAGAAACAAACCACCTGCAGCAAGACAAAAGCATCGTATTTATTATTTGAAAGTCACCTTTAAGACAGTAAGATTAATACTGCAGCCTCTGTTTTAATTGAGTTAATATATATTTTCTAGGACAGCACTACAGCAATGCGGACAATGCTAACACACAGCAGTGTTGTAGTCAAGTCACCAATTCCACGAGTCCTAGTCACTCTCGAGTCACCACTCTTCGAGTCCGAGTCACCAAGGGAGAGTCATAGTCGAGTCCGAGTCCAAGTCCGAGTCACCCAAGGAGTGTCCGAGTCGAGTCCGAGTCATCATTACCTGTGTTCGAGTCCGAGTCCAAGTCCGAGTCACCTAAGAAGTGTCCAAGTCAAGTCCGAGTCACAAGTCTTCATGTATTAATCTTCGTGGATATATGTGTTGAAATGTAGCTGCTCCTCTACATTGCTTTTATCCTGTCATGTTATACTAAGCTGTCCATTGAACTGCTGTGAAGCGAGTTTGGCTACAATTCTTGTAATAGGTGCTATACAAATATAAAGCTTATTACTAATATTAATATTATTATTGTAAATGACTTTATATGTCTAACTATATTTAAAATGAGTTACCTTTTAGAGAAGTGATTATATTTGTATGCCAATATTTTCCTATGGTAAAGTTTTCATTTTGCGCTGCTCTTTTCCAATGTGGAAGCAGAATGTGTGAAAGCATACAGCACGATGCGGGGTGTGTCTCTAGACATCTTTAGACTGGAATAGCGGGGCCCAGTACGTGAACTCGCCTCGCAGGTGCACACGCCAGGATAGAGGACATCAGACTCCAGAGAAAACTTGCTCGAGCCCGAGTCCAAGTCGGAGCATCAATGTACAAGTCGAGTCCGAGTCATCGTGGGGGGGGGGGGGGGGATTCACGAGTCCGAGACCAAGTCAGCGTACGCTCGAGTAGTCCATCTCTGACACACAGTATTCATTTATTTGTATTAGACTCACAATACTGACCCCAGGTGTCAATATTGAGGCCCAGAGTGAATATTATGGGTGTAGTAATGACTTTTATGACAAAGGGAAGCAGTCGTGATGACCTTGTATCCAATAAAACTATCTTATCCCCATCCAGACATGACAACGAGGAGGCTGTTCCTTCCATGATAATACATTTCAGAAAGTCCAGACGCTTCTTGAAAATCTGAATGAGGAACACTCTTAGAAAAAGAATTTGGCAACTTAGATTTAAAACTATGTTAGAGAAAAAAGATTGGATAGTATTAATATAAACTTGTGCGTGTATTTATAGTATGTGGTGTTGCTCGAGTCTAGTGCAAGGGTGGGGAACCTTTTTCCTCTCAAGGGCCATTTCAATTTTTTCAACATCCTCCGAGGGCCGTACAAATGATTGACCTCTGCTTAAAAATACTAAAATCACAGCCCATTCATTTGGCCTTTCTTTCATGCTGTGCAAAGAAAAAGCAACCTCTTAATCCAGATAACTTGCCATGACTCGCGTATGCATGCATGTGCACGGTTGTGGCATGACCACCAAAACAGAAAGATATGGACACAAGATGTATGCAAATGTATTTAGTTTCCTATCCATGTGGACATGATTTAAGTGGGGGGGGACCTAACCTCCTCTAGGGGGGTCCGGGGGGCATGCTCCCCCGGGAAGATTTATTCTTAAATATTGAAGTTGAAAGCATCAATCTGGTGCACTTTGAGAGCAAAATGAAGAGATCTATGGAAACATCTCTCAACACCCAGATGAAACAGAACTGTAAGCAGATTTACTTTTTCTTTATGATATTTTACAAATCACTCCCCTTTCAAACTATATTCTTGTTTATTAATAACAACTTTTTTTTACAGTCATATAGTGTTTTATACCTGTTTACTTTATTCTCTTGTTTTTTGATAACTATAATGATCATATAAAGATGTGCCTTTACCTCACTGGTTGGAGAAAAAGCTTCTTATATTCGTTAGCATAGCTAGCTAACCAGATGCTAATAACAACCATGTTATTGACTGTATGATCAGTATGACAGATGAACAGATCGCCACTGGGCTTTCAACTAAGACACAGCCACGCAAAAACTGCAGCATGTGTACGGCTCCTTATGGGTACTGCAATTGTTGAAGTCCTGGAGCGGCGTTCTGGTGCTCTCCGTCAGAACTACACCCCTGTCAGACGAGACATATACCACGTGATGACACGTGGCTTGTGTTGTGTTCAAGGACCATGACTGTTGTCAGGAAAAACAGGCACTCGCTTGTTTAATTATTTTGCGGTCTAGATTTCTTTAATTTTTTTCTTTTTGCGTGTGTTTATAAATTACCTCGAGGGCCGTACCAAATGCTCTCCACCCCTGCTCTAGTGTCACAGAAAGCAATGAGTGTGCTCAAGTTAGTATGCACTATCGTGTCACCAATCTTACTTTGAGCATGCTCTTAAAATAAGTGCAGTCCAGCATGACTTTCAAAAACATTATTGTGCTTCCATGCAGGCGAATATAAAGCACTGCCCTGATCATCGTTCTTGTTGCCAGTGTAGGTAATACGGTTAGAATCTTATCCAAAAATACACCTTGCATGGGCGGTAACCTAAATCAAGGCTTTAAAAACCAAAAGTGCAAGGATGATCTTGGAACAACTTGTACACTCTGGGTTGTGCAGCTGCAGCCATGGAAAACACCAAAACAGTATTTATGTGGGTGGACAGCGGCCTGTTCTTCGAAAATGGATGACGATGTGAACTTCATTTGACTGTTTAAGTTGTTTTCAGCCTTGATTCTTTGTTCTTTAGATCTGATTAAAGTAAATGTTAAGCACTCATTTAATTATTAAGCTCAAACAGAATGAGGATTATTTATAGGAGTCATATTATTACCTCAGTGCATCAAAAGTTCAGAACTTCCCTTAACAACCTTAATTAAATGGGGCTTTCACACCAACGCGGTTCTAGGGCCGGTTCGGAGCTGGAACGATATATGTTACAAACAAATACATTTGACTGGAATTAGTTACTTCAAATGTTTGCAAATGATTGCAATTCTAACAAAAAACTGTAGAATTAAAAAAAAAGGCCATCTAGAAATATGTACTTGCATTATCAAACCAAGAAGAAATGTAGCCAATCATGAGCAGGCTCAAAAAATACATTAAAATTAAGTTTGTTAAATAATAAGTATGACTAAAATGTGTACAGCCTTAATTCGTCAGATTTTAATTCACTTCTGATGTGCAGCTGTAAAGGATGCGGTCTCTATCCTTAAGGATTAAGGCTATTCTAGCTTCATGTCGAACAGTAAGTCAACATTTTCCAGAGAGCTTTCTTTGAAATCACCAGGTAACGCTAAAAAACATTACATTTAGATTGTATGACAAAGTGCATACGTACACGTCATGCTAGTCAATCATATGAGCGGAGATCATGCTGTTAACTTTCCACTCATTCATTCTGAATAACATCTCATTGTTATTAATATATATTTGTATCCAGGATTAACAAATAAATCCTCCACTGACATTTAGACAAACATGTTTGAATGGAAATAATGAATTTATTTTTAGCTGTGCAAAGTTACGTTTGCTCCACCAGTTAAGCAAGACTGAGCAGAGTCAGTAAGCCTTTTCACACGGTATTCTTCACAAACTCGTTTTTGGTCTCATTATATACAGGCAACAAGCCTATGCCTTGAATATACACACAGGATATTTCTGCGTCACTGGATTTTTCTTTTTGGATCTTGTTGTCCCTTCTTCAAGGGATCCTACAAATGAATCCGTGTTCTGCTGTCTCTAGCTTTTTTATTCTAGTGTTGCAAGATTTACAGCATGGCCATCATGCCAAGACATTATGATGCTAACTTGGGATGAAAAAGCTACAACCATTGCCACCATAACCGTGGTGGGAAGCTGTTATTTTATTTCAATCCGCAGGCCACATACTTTGGTGGGTCCCATAATTTGAGATTCACTTTCACTATTTCAGAAAGGATACTAAAAATATCCTTAGTGTCTTGTGAAAAACACTGGTCGCAGTGTATGTTTTAGTTTTTTGCCATAAACTTTTTTTTTTAAATTACATAACTGTGTATAACACATTCAACACCATGAAATAAATAGCCAATGTTGTTATGTCCTATATTTTCTACACAAAAGGAATAGCAGACCAGTCATGAATGCAGTTCTAAAATGTATGTGAGGCTTCACTTTTTGGCTTTGTGCCAAACAATAAGGAAGAGACAATTCTTTTGAGCATTTTGTCAAATTTGAGAGACATACATTTCAAAATGTGAGGAGCAATTAGAAATATCAAAACTCTTGAAAGATCACCCACTAGCAATACACTATTAAAACCACAAACATAGTTTAAGGCTGTAACTGAAATGTACTGTTTTGTTAAATGTATTTACTCCTTCGGAATTGTGTCTAACCTGATTGATGCTGATATATGAACAAAATAACTAGCCTATCCATTACAATTGAAAAGATTACCGAATAAAATTGAATATATGAAAAACTTAACTGATGAAAAACTGAACTTGTGTTGACCAAATATTGAACAGTATGGCTGACAATTAAAAAACAGAAAACCAAATGTTCTGCACTACTGGCGCGTTTCCACTGCAGCGGGGTAGCCCCGTTTAAGCGTCCCTAAGCGTCCTCGCTCTGGCCTCGGGCTGCCTCGCTGGCCGGCCCAGGCCGTGGCGCATTTCCATTACAGTTTAGGACCTGGGGTAGCAACGCAGTGTAGGCGGGGCGACCGGCTTTGTTTTTGTTCACATTTCGAGTTGTTCCGTCGAGCTCCCGCTGGATTTTATCATCCCCAATGAGATGTAGGAACGTCGTCACCTCCTCGGTCGACCACGTTGTGCTTTTCTTATTAGACGTAGCCATTTTTGTAGCTCCTCCGTTTACAAAATGCTGTGTATAAAAATGCTGCAAGCTTGCTTCTAGATATATATGCGACGCTAGGGATGAACTCGCGCGCAATCTTGTGACGATTCTATCTGACCAATCAGCAGTCGAGAGTGTTGACGTCACTAGTTCAGCCCTGGCCCTGGTCTGAGGGAACCACGATTTTATGAGGCCGGAAAAAGAGGGAAAAAGTACCCGCTGGCCGGTACTAGGCTATATGGAAACGCCACCAAAAACCGGCCTGGCCGCTTGAGGACGGTTAAGGACGCTTAAACGGGGCTACCCGCTGCAGTGGAAACGCGCCATAAGTGTCATCTTACAAATGAGGCCTGGCTCTTTTACAAACACAGCATTTGTTTGTGTGCTCCCAATTAACATACAAAAACAATACCTCATGGGTTCAAGCCCATCACATTATCCTCCTTATTAAATCCCCCAACATCTTATTTATATACAAAGCAGGTGATTGAGCAGTTTAATATGTGTTTGCTTACTTTCAAAATCAGCTGTTGCAGTCATGGTAACTATGGACTATCCATATCCTGTTTCTCAGTCTTTAACCCTGCTATTGTAACAACTTGGATAAAGAAATCCATAATGTGAATCATGTAATGGACCTTTTTTCAAATGACAGATGTAGCTATTATTCTGTCTCATATCTTTAGAAATGGAGCATTACGTCTACAGTATTTAATTCTGGGAGTTCCTCTACATCTGTCATTTTAAACCGTTTTTAATTTCTTTGTCCCCAAGTGGTTTAAGGCATTTGGAGAGTAGAGGCATGCAGTTTCCTGTTATAAAATGACGTTATGCTTTTGTTGTTTCACGGTGAAGTTCTTGGTACAGTTAATTTTAGAACGCATTTCCAATGGTCTCTGATCATTTCAATTGTAAAGCTAGCAGCCATGTTGAACGCAATGCCCTCATACACGGCCTGGGAGTGGGAAATACTGTTGCTGTGTGTTGTTATTGTTGGCTGTTAACACCATACTGTCATATAAACGCAATTGGATTTGTAGCTTATCTTGGGGGATGGGTCCGTTTCCACAACATAGGGCTTTTCCGGAAATGCACCAAAAACACGCACAATAATAAACGTCCGCCTAAGCGTATTATGTTCCTTAAACACTTCAGTGCATTAGCCCTGCGTCTAAGATGTTATTGTTGTTGTCGCTAGCTAGCTAACTTAGCCTGAATTTCACCTTTGAATTCCAAACCACGTCGCCATCTTGCAAGGCAGATTTTCATCGTAGACCGGGGACTTAAATTGCCTGCTTATTAGGCATGTTGCTTCACTGCATATTAGATATTTGTACTCACCTCATATTTAGAAAATATATCGGTGTGAGATAAATGTATCCCTGGGCAGAAATATGTGTAAATTGTTGATTGTAAATCCGCGGGTTGTGAGCTGTGGACGACTGGGCAGACTGAAGGCTGCGCCGCATTTGTCGGTCGATGTCCTGACAGGGTAATATAAATTGCCTATACTCGGTTAGATCCACAGCTTTCTGGAATTCCCTAACACAGTTGTGTGAACAGTAAACATATATATATTTTTTTCTTTACATAGTAAGCGGACTATTATCTGATCCTCTTAATAAATACTTTACATTTGACTCTTTAGTTTTTATATACCTGTAAGGATTATGCGGTGTAACAGCTAAATCGTCCCCTCAAACAGAGTAACGTTCCTGGTGTTTTTCACTTTTCAAAAATACACATTTTGCTTAATTTATCTCATTTGACTACAAACGTTCAATGTCCCGTTTACTCAAATATGCCAGAAAAGTATTATGTTTCATAGTTATTTATTCGTTATCCTAAGAAGTTTATAATCAAATGAACCGAGAAAGTGACAGTGTCTCCGAAGGAGTGAAACACATTATTGTGTGGCTAAAAGTGAGCAGCTATTGCTTTGTTGCAATTAGTTAAGACCTATGGTTAAGACGCTTACTGCATTATCTAAAGATGGGGTGACGTTAAATAAAGCAAACCTTCCGCTTTTAGGTTGTTGTTTTTATACACGTGGAACCATTAGTATGTTAGGCTTTTGTCTGTACACGGATTGTTTACGGTAACGGTCAAAAATAATGAGTGTTTACCCGGCTGTCTTTATAGTTTTATCCTATTTGGTTTGGATAAAATGCATTTACTATCGACATCGAAGCTCTTTGGTGAAGTCGTTGAATCATGTTATGAACGTGTTAACAAGCAGAGACACAGTCGGCGCAGACATCAGAGCTCTGGTTGTGACTGCGCATCCGGATGATGAATGTATGTTCTTCGCGCCAACGATTATACGTCTCGTTGAGTTAAAAGCCAGCGTTCATTTGCTGTGTTTATCCGAAGGTATGGTTTCACTACACTATTGTATCACAATGAGCTTTATGACCTCATTATACAATTATGGGGGAATGCTAATATAGCCTCAGGATAGCTGCTAACAAATGGAAGCTAGTTTTAATCACGTGCTTTTACTCATTTGAGTTAAATAGATAATAGTTTGCTAAACATAAACGTTAGATTGAATGTGAAGGATATGGAAATGGATGCTTCTGGATTTTTTTTTGTACCATATTATTCGTCATTGAATTCTAAAATACACCTGAAAATTATTTCTATTCAAAGTCTTACTATGTTGTATTCACATAATAAAACCTTATACATTCAAGAACTTGTGATTTTTGAGTGAATTAATAATTCCCTCAACTACTGTAAAATAAAGAAAGCCAGTCTTGTGTTCACTGAACATACATCTATTAAGGCCAACAGATCATACATTTGTATGAAACATGTGGGTGACAGAGATGTCAACAGTTACTAGCTTTTTCAGGAAAGGCATAACACATTTGGTGTTGATTATATTAAAAAAATCAACAAGGGTTTCTGGAGTGAAATAAAGGCAACTCACTTCAAAAACTTATTTTATAAATGATATGATACATAGAATGTGTATATTTCATTCAGATCGAACTTAACTGGTGTTAGAGGACCAGCATACAGCTAAAGAACAAGAATGACATTGTAAAATGTGTTACCTAGACATAATTATGTTAGCCATTATGGAGCATCAATAGCCTAATTTGTCCTCCAAATATTGTACAGGAAACTACTACAATCAAGGAGCTCAGCGTAAACAAGAACTTCTCAACAGCTGTGCAGTGTTGGGGATACCAGACTCCAGAATCACCATAATAGACCATAAGTAAGCAAACCTATGCACCAAACATACAACACAACGTTTTACAAGTTAGTTAAAAACATTTTCTTATGTGTTCCTTTCAATGTTGAGAAAACTGAGTTTGAGTTAACTTGTTAAATAAATATGTGTTTTAAACATCGTACTGTTGATCGTACTGTTGATTGGTGTCAGCCCTCAATGATTTAAAACTGAAGCTAATTGTTGGCTCAAAAAATGACATAGGAAAATATTAATATATATCTGCTGCCCTTAATTCAGGAGTCAGGTCTCAGCAGGTCTGCCTGTGCCCATCAGCCCCCTCCCACCAAAAGAACAAATCACAACCATCCATTCTCACCACAACAGAGCCGATCTAGCCTGTGGCCTTATGTATAACTGCCTATGTGTCAAAGGAAATAAATGAGAAGGCCCCAGGGACGGTGATCGGTCTTCCCTGTGGGACACAGAGCCCTCTAAGAAGCTTTAAATTCCAATGTGACATCAATCTATCTATTAAAATGCCCCATACTTTAAAATATAGTAAAGCAATTTTTGAAATTGTAATTATAACAAATGCAATCAATTTTTTGAGTTTATGTTTTTTTAATCAATTGAGTAAAAAGGTAGATTATATTAGTGGAAAACTTTGGTAATTTTTGTTTGTATTGTGGGTTACATACCAAAGTGTTTCTTGTGCTGGCAAACTTTTGAGCATATCTTCGTGTCAGTTGTAGACTATGGAATGAAAGGGGATTTTCCAACAGTTTTCTAAGAAACTAGTTGTCCATTCCAGGAACTTAACAGTTCAGAAAATAAATTATAACTTTAGTGTGATAGCTCTCATTCATCTCTCAGTACTAAAATAAATGAGAGGAAGTCAGACAACAACAAAAAATACCAAGTTAAAACAGATTTCACTCACAGCCACAGTGGTTTTACATTCAAGCAGAAATCGAAGCCAGGACTACTTGTTGGCCAAATTCTTCGAGGAACTCGTTATTCTTCATGTTTCTTTTTTGTTGTGCTGTTGATCCAGCTGTAAGACTTCCAGTCTCCTGGCTTTGGCTGTGGCTATTGGCAAGGTCAAATTACTGAGAAAGAAGTGGTAAAGGTGATGTTGAAGAGGGGGAGTTTTTTCCTGTGGAACAACCCTGCAGCTTCCCCTGAAATGTTTTGAGTTTCTAAGAATCTCGGGCCGCCCACATTTCAGTCTCTACACGTTGGTGCAACAAGAGAGAGCTGCATGAACTCAAGCACTAACCTGGAGCTTACAGCAGTATTCTGGCAGCTTGCCCAGGTTGTCTGCTCTAGAGAACATTTAGTGTGTGTGTGTGTGTGTGTGTGTGTGTGTGTGTGTGTGTGTGTGTGTGTGTGTGTGTGTGTGTGTGTGTGTGTGTGTGTGTGTGTGTGTGTGTGTGTGTGTGTGTGTGTGTGTGTGTGTGTGTGTGTGTGTGTGTGTGTGTGTGTGTGTGTGTGTGTGTGTGTGTGTGTGTGTGTGTGTGTGTGTGTGTGTGTGTGTGTGTGTGTGTGTGTGTGTGTGTGTGGTATTTTAAATGCAGTTTTATCGTCCTGTGCACACAGAGCATCACTGAACTTTGATCTTAGTGCTGTCTGCACTTCTGCTGAACTGGAGAGTAGCCCATTTTCCCTTTCTGTGTATTCTGCTGTTTGCTCAAAACACAAACCTTATCAGCACATTGAGAGCCCCACTCTCCCAAACAAGCTCTGTCTCTCCATCTCTCTCTCTCTCTCTCTCTCTCTCTGCTCCCCCACTCTTTTCCAGCACCCCTCCTCCTTCTCCTCCTCTTGTCCGTCTGCTGGAGCCAACTGCCAAGGACTGTGGGATACATTTTGGCCATGCTCTGAGCACAGCTAATGTAGGTCATTCCAAGCTGTTTTTCCCTTTATGTGTCTGCATATTGAGAGCCACACTTTGGCTTTGCTCCTAACCTTCTCTGCCAAAGTATAGTTCATCCATGACTTTACCTCTCCCTGCTTTTTACGCTCGTCATTTTAAACAAAAAGAAAGAAAAACATGTTGCGCAAAAGTTGGTGACCTTTCCCTTTTTTCATATTTACACAAACAGAAAAAAGCTGCACAATTTCAATATAATCCAAAGCCCTTTGCATCTTAACAATGTATTGGAGTTATACTAAGATGATTGAAGGTTTGATTATGCTAATTAACAGTAGTTGAAGTAACAATTTCAAGACTGACCTCTATTGTTTTAAAGCTCCTAGCCCCTTGGTTCAAGACATAATATTTGTATGTAATGCTATAAAGAAAAATCTAGAGCAGCTCCTCAGTGTATGTGTGTCGTTTGAAATATTTGCATTTTCCATTTATGCCAAGCTAGTTATTATGTTTTTGTAATGCGAACACAAACCAGGAAGGTGCACCTTTAGTCTACTTGTCTTGTCACTGTCGATTTAGTTGGACTAGGTTCAAATGTTGTTACAGTTTTGAATCAAATCCATCTCATTGAGTCAATTAATTTCAAATGATGTCTTGGTTAAAACTAAATGGTTACCCAACGAGTATTTGACCTCTATGGGTTCTTTTTCTATGAAGGGGGTTTTGTTTTTTTATGCACAAGGATGCATGTAACCCACATTCCCGACTATGGATTCACATTATTCCACTGATCCAGTTGCTGTAACACGGCAAAGTACGCAGCAATGTACCATCAAAATCTGTGCATTAGTAAACTGAAAGCATGTCAACATGGATGTAACAATGCAATATTTAATATTATTAAAAATACACTAATTGTAATTATCCTCATGCAAATGATGTGGCATCTAGATATTATTAAACTTGGTCAAACTGTATTAAACATTTGCAAAAAACTAGTACCAGACCTAATGCATACTAATACGTTTTTTTTGTTGCAGTATTGACTGTATCATGTCATGCATCAGGGAAGTGTGTGCTGGGTCCACTGGAGTTTTGTTTTCAAGCTAAAGTCTCAACTTCGCACAGTGTAGGTTTATGTTTCATAACGAACAAACTGAGTGAGACCTGCTTCCTCACAACTAAAGCCTATGCTATGAATAACAGGAATAACACGTGAATTCTGCTTTAAAATAGGATTTTCCCTTTAATGCTTACTGAATAGGACAGCTGTGTAGACAGTATCTGGGGCCCCAGTGCATGTTGGGGCCTTTGTGATCAAGCTGGATCTGAGCACGCTCTGCTGCCTCTCCACTTGCACTGGCCTGACCTCTGTCTACTCCCTGGACTCAATTATAGCTGCTCACTGCACACATCCAACCACCTCGACGCTTCA